CCCAACGCATTATGCAAGGCAACGACCTACATACTGTGCCCTGACAAGAGTAACACAGATTCGACAGTTCACAGAACTAATTCATCTATCCCTTCTCTTCCTCCCCCCCCCCGGTCAGTTCCGAGTGACAAAGCCTCCCGGACGAATGTCGACGAGATTCTCCAGCTTTAGGGACCATGAAGTGGAGAGAGAGCTATAGCTCGTCGCCGTCTTTGATGTGGATGAACAGCGAGGCCTGTCGAAGGCACGATGGGTGAAAGGTCTGGGACCGTAGAAAAGGTACTGAGACAGAGACTCAAAGTATTGAGCGTGTCCTCGAGTTTGGAGTGGATGTCGTAAAGGGCTTGGATTTGGTTCGAGCCAGCCAGTCGCAGAACGTTGTACTAGTTCAACATTTTTGTGGTATATATTGTTTAAGAATCAACCCTTGATATATGAGTCCTAGATGGTCCAATGGTTAGGATTTGTCGCTCTCACCGACAGGGTCAGGGTTCGATTCCCTGTCTAGGAATCTTTTTTGTGATTTTTTGTGGCTCTAAACTATAATCCCTGCTCTATTGTTTGGTTTTACTAGTTTTGATTCTGTTACTTTTTACCATGAAACAATCTAGTGTTTGTGGGGACTTGCCATGATTGGATATGTGAGGCTGGGTGTGAACACTGCCATCTCATCTAGTAGGGATTGACTTTGCTCGGGCTCACTGCCGCGCACAGTAGCGGTCCAATTCCGCAGAGGGGCAGTTTGGATATAAGCCACTACCACCTTCGGTCACAGAAGAGGGCTATAGATCAGTAGCAGACTCCAGCCTTGCATTTGATTCGTTACTTGGACCTGTTCTAGTCGCAGGCAGCAGCAGAAGAACACCAAAGGGCTCACATCCAGCAGTGGCATCAACAACGGGCGTGGTAGTAGATTTCGACGGTCAGAACGTAGAAGATGAGCTATCCGGTAAGTGTTTACATCCACCTTCTTCCCCTTTGGCGTCGTCGGCGATGGCAAGCAAGCAAGCTGTCCACCTTGACCTTGACGGCGCTTGAGATTTGAACCCGTCCATATCCGGAGTCGAATCCATAAAACCCAGTCGGATCTGCTTCTTCTCCGTCGCGTTCTCTCCTCTTGTTTCTGTCGTCCAAACGTCACGAAACGTCCCCCTTGTCGCTCGCCCAACTAAGACTTTTGAACGAACGAACGTACGCTAACGAGAGATGGACAATCCCTTCAAGGACCCTTATCATCAGCAACAACAACAACAACAACAACAGCAGCAACCACAAGCCTCTTCTCCATGGGCTCCCAGTAACACGGGTGCACCAGCTCCGCCTCCACGACCGCCCAGCAACGCCGCGTCGACTCCAGGCCCAGGAGGGGCTTACGCCCAGGGCAGCTATAGCGGCTATGGAGGATATGGTTCAGGTCCTTACAACTCTGGTAAGCATCCTTTCTCACCACCTCACTTTCTCTCTTTTTCTTTGCCTTTTCTTTTCTCATTTGACGAGCCAGTAATTTGTTGACGCTGATGCTGACACTCGGCGCGTACACGCGCATATCTAAACTTAGGCTACGATAATCCGTATGGTGGATATTATGATCAACCTAGTTACGATAATCCAAACTCGCTTCAAACTCAGACCGGTCAAGTCGTCTCCAACCAACCAGTCCCAGGAGGCTACGTCGAGAATCCCAACCCATTCTTGACTCCTCAAGGTGGTCATCCATCGCTGTACACCTCGGATAACCCTACTCTCGCTCCATCATCGTCCACAACCCCAGGGAGATACGATAATCCCTACGGAGCAAACGTGAACGAGATGGGTGTATCCGGTCCTCCCTCGAGACCTTATTCGACCGTCAATCCTGACCGATATAACACTCCTGCACCACTTCCTGGTCAAGCGCAAAGC